AACCCATTTTCTAAAGTGCAGCATTATGTTAAATGCACTGGGTTTTACCCTATTACATTTAAATTTCATGGTTAAACAGTACATGTTAAAATCTAAGCTCAGCTCGGCAGTGACCTAAAATACATAAATATAATTTTACTTACCGAAAAAAATGAAGTGGAGACTCCTTGGACGCTCTATTAGTGCAATTAATGCCACATCAAGTCATTTAGTCCAATAATTGCACAAATAATATCCAAAAAAGAAAACACAAACACAGAGACTCAAAATGACGGAACGGTTTTCAGGCGAGGCCGAGGCTCTACTGAGGCCTTTCCACTGAGCTAGCTCTGTGGTCACGTGGGTCTGATGCTCATTAATTATACAGAATTTTAGGCTTTTAATACACTTAAACAGAAGAGTGAGAAAAATTCACCCCCCTCAGAGTTGTCATGAGTGTAAACTAGATCATTTAAACCAAAAACATGTTTTGGTACCAGGCTGTAAACATGTTTATTTATGCTGTGAAATTGGTATTTTTAACATGGGAGTCAATGAGGATTTGCTCGCTTCTGATACCAGCCCCTAGTGGATGAGGGTGGAACTGCAATTTTTGGTACTTCCGGGTTGGACTCAATTTTAAAGCCGCATTGTGGGGGCCTGGATGCGATCCAGCGGAACCACGGCTCACGGGTGCACATGTGAGCACATCTGGGCTGGGCAGAAGTAATTTTACAACATTGGTTTAAATAGCGCCAATAACGAGACGCGGTGACTTGAGCGGCTCATGGATCTGTGCCACACACACACACACACACACACACACACACACACACACACACACACACACACACACACACACACACACACACACACACACACACACACACACACACACACACACACACACACACACACACACACACACAACTCATGTTACTGCAGCATTTGTTGTTCCAGTCCGCATGGCAGCGGATCGCAGATTCAGCCACACCATAAAACAGCGATAAGTCGGTCTGAGGCAAAAGTGAACCTCATGGCTTTTCCATCTTTTCCCCTATAGACATTTGATTACGCACAAGTAGGTGGCCAGTTCAGGTTTATGCAGAGCAGAAGGAAGGAGAGCGCTCTGGCCGCACAGGTTAAACATTCCTACTTTAAGAAAACCGTTAAATTGCATTGTTTATGTGCTACCTGGGCACTCTAAATATTTATTTAAAATTAAATCAAAGGAAATTGTAATGGTATTGAATGTTTATTAATTAGGGCCTACTATTTAAAAATGAAAGTGATGGGGAAAAATGTCGATCATATTTTTTTAACCCTGTCTGTCGAGTGACTGTTTAGCTTGACGTCTGATATATATATATATATATATATATATATATATATATATATATATATATATATATATGTATATATATATATATATATACATATACATATATATATATATATATATACATATACATATATATATATATATATATATATATATATATATATATATATATATATATATATATGTATGTATGTATGTATGTATGTGTATATATATAAATATATATATATATATATATATATGTATGTATGTGTATATATATAAATATATATATATATTTTATATATATATATATATATATTTATATATACACATACAGACATACATACATACATATATATATATATATATATATATATATATATATATATATATATTTATATATATACACATACATACATACATACATACACATATATATATGTATATGTCAGATATGCTCTGACTGTTCTAGTTACCGGAGATCAAGCTCGACATGAGGTGATATCAGCATGAAGTTTGATCACATCAAGAGCCTCTAACATGAGTCTCCCTCCTGCTCTGCTCAGCCTCGGTTCGTGACAGGCTGCCTGATGTTCGTACGATGTGTGACACTCAGAGGAGCTTTGAATCTACACACTGTGAACAAACGGCAAATGTCCCCCTCTGGTAGAAACATCCAGCAGCATGTCTCCTGCACATATCTGAACAGAGCGCAGTAGCTGGGTATCATTATGCTCCCACGGTGCTTTTTGTCCCTAATTGCACCCTGTCACCCTGTAGGGAACAAAGGCGCACAAAAGATTGTACTCGTCTGTGTGATGTGTGCCAGAATCCTTTTGTTTCTGTAAGGAAATGATTGCAGACCCGTTACTTGTTTTATATTAGAGCAAGTTCAAACACAGGAATGAGTATGTGACAGCTCCTGAGTGTGTGTGTTAGTGTGTAAACTGCCGCTCTGCCTCACCGTTTCTGTTCCTCGGATAATGAGTGAACCTGTGACTGGAGAAGGCGTGAGCGCTCACAAAGCTCCTCCTGCTGCCAACTCACACCCAAGCTGCAGGCCGGAGCGGTTTCCTGCATGTGGCGCGTGCAACCTCGTCTGTTTGTGTGATAATGATTCTCTAATGAGCGCTGCTGCTAGCACATAAACAAGACAAACTTCAGGGCCCACCGCGTGCTGCGAGTGCCTGTGCATCACGCTGAAGCATCATTTTCTTCCAAGTTAAGACAACTTGTGTTTTCACAATGTCTGTCCTTATCACTGGACCACAGTTTGCATTCTGCAGGTTTGTGTTCATGGTAAAGGGACGACTGAGACGCACACCAGACCGTCAGCATTTGTGTCTCATGAGTTTTAATCAACAAAACTGAATCTAAATAAATGAACAGAAGTTTTGGTGTTTTGGGAGCATTTACTGTATCTCCTGTAAACCTTCAAAGCCTGAAATCTAAAATACTAATATATATATAAATATATATTAATCTTGTGTTTAAAATTGAATTATGCCTAATGTGAATATAAAAACTAAATAATCTGTGTTATTTTATTACATGATTCTATGTAGGGTTGCACAATAGTGGGAAAAAATCCCATTGTGATTCTTTTTAATCCTGCTATATTGAAAAACCGGAATCTCAGGTTAATTAACCAATCAATCAATCAATCAATCAATCAACCAATCAATCAATCAATCAATCAATCAATCAATCAATCATTCATTAAATCAATCAATCAATCAATCAATCAATCAATCCTTTATTAATCCCAGAGGGAAATTAGAGTTTCAGAACACACAATTCAGAGATCAGACATACGTGGGCAAGACACATGATAAGGATTGGTGACTGTGGTCATTCGCAACCCGAGTTGCGCTACCTTAATAGAGATAAGAGGGTTACATGAGGATTGGTTCAGGTGGAGGGAAAAAAAGACACTTCAGAGTTACCCTCCCACCAGGAGGGCAGCTTTGCTCTGCAAAAAAAACACCTCAACCGATATGCAACAGACTTCAGACAACACAACCTAACAATGAGACTCCAATAGTAAGGCGGGGGGGGGGGGGGGTTGGGTGGGGTTGGGGGGGGGGGTGGATCCTGCTTCCCTCAGCGAGAGCAGCCATCCACGGCGCTCATCTACTGTACAGTCACAGGTGGGAGGGAGGTCATGGGAGAAGCACAGAGCACATTGACTCCTGCAGATTGATGACCTCGCCAGGCTGAAGGCCCCCAATCTGAACAACCAAATGTTGGTGTTTTATGTACAGCGGCTGATAAATTACAGTCTTCCAGGTCAAATCTGAGCTTTTATGCAACATGGTAAAATCATAACTCTAGACACTTCCTGGCCAAAAAAAAAAAAACTCACATACTCTATGTATTCCGTTGGGCCTCCTTTAGCTTTGATTACGACACACACTCGCTGCGGCGTTGGTTCCATAAGCTTCACCAGATTTATCTCCATCCAGTGTTGCATTAATGTCTCACCAAGATGTAGTATTGATGATGGTGAGTCTGACCGCTCCATAAAGCCTTCTGCAGCACATCCCAGAGATGGGGTTAAGGTCTGGACTCTGTGGTATGAACATGATGTCTCATGCTCCCTGAACCCCTCTTCCACTATCTGAGCCCGATGAATCCTGGCGTTGTCATCTTGGAATGTGGCCGTGCCGTCAGGGAAGATGGAACAACCTGGTCATTCAGGATATTCAGGTAGTCAGCTGACCTCATCCGTGGAGCACTTCCTGTTGCTGAACCTAGACCTGACCACCTGCAGCAAGCCCAGATCATAGCACTGCCCCCACAGGCTTGTACAGTAGGCACTAGACATGATGGGTGCATCACTTCACCTGCCTCTCTTCTTACCCTGATGCACCTTCACGCTGAGACAGGGTCCATCTGGACTCATCAGACCAGTTTGAACTCATTCGCTGCCAGCGTTTCTCACCGTTTTTACTGTTTTTTAAGAGTCACAGAATGTTGCGCGCTAGGATGATGTCGACGCCAAAACAACCAAAACAAAGTGGAGACTCACCTCTTACATCAAGAAGAATCGGCGCGTTTCGAGCGCTATCCGTTCTTTCATAATCCGTTGTTGAATTGTGATCGGCAGAAGCTGTTCCGGTTCGCGCCTCACTTTTTTTTACAGCAGCGGCCCAAAACGATCTCCTAACACATGGATGTTCTGCTTCCTGATCACGTGACGTGTGACATACGCGGATGAAGATCAGCTTTAGAGCGGAGATGTTTGTTCTCACGGTGCAGGGGCTCGTTCTGATGCACACACAGTAAAAACATGCAAATGACGACTTTAGTCGAATGAGTTAATAAGGAGTTGGACAGTTCTGAACCCAGTTTTAGTCGTTTCTGCATCTCCTTAGATGTTTTGTCTGCTTGATGCCAAAGGTGCGTCTGTTGGTTGCTTAAGAAATGAGAAGCAGCTCATTGCACCAGTTGGGGTTGAATAGACAATGCGTAGTTTTTGCCGTTAATCTCTGGAAATATCCATGGAAATGTTGAAAAGTGCTTTGATGTAAACTTGTATTTTTCTTCCAGCCTAATTTGCATCTCCTAGAAACGTACCCACATGACGAGACTACAAAAACTATCAGAAAGTTCCAAGAAACACAAATCAAAACCAAAGTTAACGATTTTCTTGAAAACCTCTAAACTTGATTTCTTTCTCACCATCCCTCTGCAGCAGTACTTCACACTCCTCATCATAACAGACGGAGTGATCAGCGACATGGACGAGACTCGCCACGCCATTGTGCAAGCCTCCAAGTTACCCATGTCAATCATCATCATCGGCGTTGGCAACGCAGACTTCGCAGCCATGGAGTTCTTGGATGGAGATGCCAGCGTTTTGAGGTCCAACACCGGAGAGGAGGCTGTTCGCGACATCGTTCAGTTTGTTCCCTTTAGGGATTTCCGTAATGTGAGTACTGACCGTAGGAACGTCCTTTTGTTGGTGTTGGGATCGTCGCACTGTTAAGACTAACCCATCACTGGTTAGTGTCTGAGCCTTGTGAGAGGCAGTCAGAATCAGAATCAGAAAAGGTTTATTGCCATTGTTAGTGAACAAACGATTCACAAACTAGGAACTTGCTTCGGTACTAACGTGCTACATATAACATGAATAATATAATTAAAAAATAGAATAAAGTAGAATAAAGTAGAATAAAATATAATAAACTAGCATAAAACTTTGCTATAAAAAATGGCAGGTAAAGGTAACATGGCCGATAACGTGACGTTATGTCAAGTACAGAAGACGAGCATGGTTGTGTGTTTATAAGCTGTTCACAAGTCTAACGGCAGATGGAAAGAAGCTGTTCTTATGGCGAGAGGTTCTGGTCCGGATGGACCGTAACCTCCTGCCCGAGGGAAGCGGCTCAAAAAGTCTGTGACCCGGGTGAGAAGGGTCAGCTGCTATCCGACCTGCACACCCCCGAGTTCTGGAGACGTACAGGTCCTGGAGAGATGGAAGGCTGCAGCCAATCACCTTCTCAGCAGAGCGCACAATGCGCTGCAGTCTGTGTTTGTCCCTCACCGTGGCTCCAGCGTACCACACAGCGATGGAGGAGGTGAGGATGGACTCAATGATGGCCGTGTAAAACTGCACCATCATCTGGGTCGGCAGCTTGGCCTTTTTCAACTGCCGCAGAAAGTACATCCTCTGCTGGGCCTTTTTGAGCAGGGAGCTGATGGATGGCTCCCACCTAAGGTCATGTGTGATGCTGGTTCCGAGGAAGTGGAAGGAGTCCACAGTGGTGACGGGGGTGTCCGTCAGGACGAGGGGGAGAGATGGGGCTGTGACTTTCCTGAAGTCCACAATCATCTCCACTGTCTTCTGAGCATTGAGCTCCAGGTTGTTGCTGCTGCACCAGTACACCAGCCGTTCCACCTCCCTCCTGTAGGCGGACTCATCACCGTCAGAGATGAGCCCGATGAGGGTGGTGTCGTCCGCAAACTTGATTAGTTTAACGGAGTCATGGCTCGAGGTGCAGCAGTTTGTGTACAGGGAGCAGAGTTGAGTTGGTGTTCATGTGTGAAGCAGACACGTGCAGCTCTCCGTTCTGCAAACCACCACCACCACTCTCACTCTCCTGGCGCTGGAAGGATGGCTTCATCTCTGCGAGCACACACCAGCACGGCCTGAGCCTCCTCTGTTCCAACGTCAAAGAGGAACAGAAACACATTTAAAGATAGCAAAGAGAAAGTCACGTTTTAAAGAAATAAAAGAACTGACGAATAAAAAACACACGTTTAAAAGGCCGTGCTCATTTCAGTTAAAATAAAAATTCTGATCCATGAATGAAACAATCCAGTGAGCTTTGATGTCCTTTCATAACCAGCCTTTGCTGCTTTTACTTTGGCTCGGTTTTAGCTTCACCTAATGACACAGCGTCTGAATTTAAATGTGAACGCCAGCTTGTTGAGTCTCATGTTGTGTTCTATCGCAGACGCGGCACACACGGAGCTCAAAGCACGTTTTGTTTGAGGGTTTCTGCTCAGTTATCTCATTCAGAGCAGAGACACCGTGAGCCTGCACCGAGCTGATGAGCTTACGAGCTGTGATTATGTTAACGAGGGTCCATGTGTGTGTGTGTGTGCGTGTGTGTGTGTGTGTGTGTGTGTGTGTAAGCTGCAGGTGAGCACAGAGGTTAATTAGCATGTGCACATTTTCAGGTTGTCCACAGGAAGACTCATTAGTGCAAAGAAGAGTTTTTTGGAAATATTTTTCTGTGTGTGTGTGTGTGTGTGTGTGTGTGTGTGTGTGGTGGGCGAGCTGAATTCCTCTGTCGTGGGACGAACAACCATGTTTCCTGGCCTGGCTCCAGGTTGTTGATAGGAGGGCGAGAGACGGCGACAAAAGGGGAAGAAATGAAGCTGAGAGCAAACAGAGAAATGAAAGCGACCTGAAATGAGTTCCTGTTCTCTCGGTTTAACTTTTACAGCTTTAGCGTCACAATGCTGGAAGTTTCTGCTGAAGTAAATCATAAATGAGTTCGTTTAAAAGTTATGCAAGGTTTTCAGATATTGTGTGTCTTTGTCCAAAGTTGGCTCTCTTTCCTGTAGCATTAAATAGACGTGGTGGGGTGTAGTTGGACCTCCCTCTGCTCTCGTTAGTGCGTCGGTGTTTAGGGCCGATTTGAGGGTCGTAGTCAGAAACTCCTTGGTTCCACCGGGGTTGTGTGTTTTCAGACCGTCGTAGCCACCGTGCTGATCTCAGGTGTTCCAGATACGAGGCGTCTGATTGGTTAATCACTTAGGGTTACTTTAGTTTAGGGAACACAAATTAACCGTTCATTAGCTGCAAACTAATATGCATATTAGTGGACTACTAAGTCTGAACTACTCATTATTAAGCACTTATTAACAGCTCATTACTAATGCTGTTATTCTAACATTAACAGGCCATAAATGAAGAGTTTTATCATAATAAGCCATTCATAATGGTTTGTTAACTGTAAGTAAATGTTTTGTTGCTGATTAACACACATGCTAATTAGCTCAAATCAATATGTGGCTATTAACCTAGTAATTCAAGGGGAATAGTTATTATGTGTAGTGATAAAGCGTTCTGGGTTGGAAATGATGGTTTTGCAGCTAACTGTTGTTTACTTAGAGAAAACAGCATCAAACACAATCTGTCGAAGTCTACCTCACCCGGTATAGAAGACCCCCTTTTTGGATCCGAAGTGTCAGGTGGAGATGGTTTCCTCCAGGCACGAGGTTGGTAGAAGAACCTCTGGTGCGCCCAAATCGGTCCTGAGATGTCTCCTTGGGTCGCTCGACAGGTGGAACTATTTGCGTCTCAAGTCTATAACTCTGAAGGAGTTTTTCGTCAGCTGGTTACAGTTTACGTTTATTCGTAGCTATTCTTGTCTGCGTGACAGAACAGCAGATGGAGGCTTCAGGGACGGCCGTTCCCTGGTCCTCTGATGGTGGTTGGTTCATGAACTGGAGTCAAAGCTGCTGGAAGTTAGTTTAACAAAGTCCTCAGAGCACCCCCACTCTCGGAGCAAGAGCTTTGGTCATGAGTCAAGACACGTGATGGCAGTTACCCTTACTCTGGATCAGTTCTGTGTTGGATGGATAAGTGGAAGTTGACCTTCTGATTTGCTGAACACACATTACTGATCATCAACCATAATCATAATTATACCCAAAACATAATTCATTCCAGTAATTAAAATATATTTATACTGAACCAAGTGATTATTTATGATGATTATGATAAACAGTAATAATGTCAGAGTTTATTAATATTATTGTTTAGATTATTATCGTGAACTTGAAGTGTCCTTCTTCTGGGACGGAGCAGCAGCAGGTAAGGGTGATATTCTTTAGACATCAGGTTGATCTGTGGAACTAAAAGTTACAGTCTGACCCAGCTTGACCCAGCTGGGAAAGTGTGACCTGTGTCACAATTAGAGGACCTTCATGATGCTCCTATACATTAATAACCAAAAATATTATGTTCATGTTTTATGTACTTAAACATCAAACTCCACATGTTAATAGAGCCCAAACAACAATCAACTAACCACTTGTAGGCAAGAATATGTTCCCCATTCTAAAGTCAGATTTAGTTCATACCTAATTACTAGTAGTTTAGTATTAATGAACCATTTAAAGGTGAGAATACGTTTCCCTTGAATTACTTTGTTAAAAGCCACATATTGATTTGAGCTAATTAGCATGTGCGTAAATCAGCAACAAAACATTTACTTACAGTTAACAAACCATTATGAATGGCTTATTATGATAAAACCATTCATTTGTGGCCTGTTAAAGTTAGAATAACAGCATTAGTAATGAGCTGTTAATAAGTGCTTAATAATGAGTAGTTCAGACTTAGTAGTCCACTAATATGCATATTAGTTTGCAGCTAATTAATGGCTAATTTGTGTTCCCTAAACTAAAGTGTTACCAAAGAATTTATTTCATAGCCAGTTGAGAAGCTAGGCTGGCTACTTCCTGCCCAGCTTCAGACCCTTTCTTTCGTAACTGAGCTGTTGGTTAAAGGCAGCTCTTCTGAACGTGGACCAGACAGCACGTCTCAAAGGTCCAGTTTAAGACTGGGTCCAGAACTACCAGAGAGGACCCCATCAACCTTTTAATGTGACTTTAAACGGAGGATTGTACAGCTGCAGTTAGGCAAGAATAATTTGTTCATTTATTCAATAATAAAAGTAAAAGCAAGTAAAGCAAGTAAAGAAACATAAGTTCAGTGTGTCCTCATGCAATTATGGGATGTTTCAGTTGAAAAACATCTGGTTAGAAGTCATTCTAAGCCTGAAAAGTCTCGTCTGGTACTTCTGGGAAACAGAAATATGACTTTGTTACACAGATGATGTATAAAACCCAATGGCCTCTGGTTAATCTTCTGTTAAACCATTAAGTAAAAGTACATATTAGCATATGAATGGGCCCAGTGATGAGTTAAGATGATTTTATTTCCATTTGAATTGTTGTATAAAAACAGCAACACTAAACCTGGTGAGAGGTCACGCTGATCCGCAGTCAGAACCGCGCGGCTTCGTTCTGGAACCACTTCAAACATTTCCTCTCTCGTTCAGAGACGAGAAAACAAAACAAAACAAAGTTTCATGACAAAAACCTCGAACCTTTAGACTATTTCAAGAGGTAATTCACAGCAGCTAATCTGAGGCACAGATGGAGGCTTTTCCACAATCAAGGATCTAAAAGCTCAGACTCAAAAACCTGAACCAGGAAACACCAGGAGCCCTTTTTCTGATTAATACTTGGACAAAAGAGAGAAAAATGTTTTGTTTTGATCCTAAATTTGGCAGGAAGCCAGTGGAGATGCCAGCGAGAGGTCGGAGTGGGAGTTCTGCCTGCTGGGAAACTGATATGTAAAAAGTGAAAAAGAGAAAGCATGCACGCACGCACACACACACACACACACACACACACACACACACACACACACACACACACACACACACACACACACACACACACTATACCAAATGCATTTTCATGGTGCATTTAAAAACAGCATGGGAGCTGACCAAAGCGCCTCCCAACATAAAAACAGAAACATGCGATTGCCGACCAGCGTTGGGCAAGTAACTTCAAAACTGTAATGCCTCATTTATTACTTGTTACCCTCATTTTAAAGTAATTCATTACATTACAAATTACTGATTTTAAAATGTAAGGCATTACACAACTTTAGCATTACTTTAAGTTACTTTCACCAAAACAACTTCAGTATGAATCTGGTAATGTGACGCTCAGTGAGCTCATGACATATATGTGGAAGGTGATGTGGTGTCTGAGCTAGGATTGCTGTTAAAAACAGTCAGATATAATAATGGTGCTTTAAAATGATTGTTTATTAAATAAAAGCAACAACAATCTGTACTCTCAGCACGCTGCCATCTTAGATTGAGCAGGGAATGAGGTGGTGGGGGCTCCAAGCCTGCATTTGCCTTGGTCCCCAAATGCCTTGATACGGCCCTGGATGTGGGACTGACTTCTGGGGTGATCTGATTCTATCACATGTATAAATATTAAATGCTTTTATATTATTGCTTTCCACTGGTAAAAATGTGTATTGGGGATAAATATGCCTACTTTTTTTCTTTTCAAGCACTTTGTTTTGTTTTCTTGATTTTATCTGAATCATTTCCGGCCTTTTCTCCCTCTAACCTTCCTGCATGCTGCATGTTTTCTCCGTTTTCCAGAAAAACTGTTTCCTAGATTTCCTACTTTCTAACTAATCAGCCAAAGGGATCTACTGAACAAAAAAAAAAAAAGCTTAATATGCGCTGCGCTCCAGCAGCAATGAGTTGAAATCACCGGGCACAGATTATGAACTCAGCTGAAAAGTACATGAAGTACCAGAGAATATGAGCTGATATAAACGATCGCAAACAAATTACTTTGTGTTGGTGGAGCGATTTTGTGAATATAACAGCGGCCGCGCGCAGGACGTAGCTGGAGGATTTGAGCCGTCACCGCTGAATCCTCTCTGCTCATAGAATGCCCGCAAATCTGAGTCCATAAATGACGTCATATATGTGGATACTGGATCTTTTTTCAGGCTTCCCGCAATTTGAATTTTTAGGAAACCCACGTCTTGATTCTGGGTTTAAAAATGCATTGTAATTACCGCGTCACTGACAATTGTACCGAGTAAATATTACCCTTTTCTTTCCCTGTAATGCCTTACATTACCACATTACAGCAAAAAGCAATGCATTACAGTAATTAATTACTTTTGTACTGCGTTACTCCCAACTCTGTTGCCGATACAACAGACAGAATACAGCAAACAGATAAAAACCAACAAAAGCAAATAAAACCAGCAAAAAAGAAAAGATAAATAAATCACAATCTAAAAGCCTCATTATGGAGGTGAGTAGCGGTGCATTCCAGAGTATGGGAGCTACATGAATGCTCGCTCCCCCGTTGACTTGTAGCGCATTTTCGGGGTGCAGAGCAGCAGTTGGTCAGCTGAACGTAGCGAACGCAGTGGCACATAGGGTGTGAGTAAGTCCGATTAGGTCGGTCGGTGCCAGATTATTCAAAGCTTTGTAAGCAAACAGCAGGATCTTAAATGTCAGTCTAAATGCTGCTGGTAGCCAATGAAGGTGCGCCAAAACCGGGGTCATATGGCTACGTCGGACGTAGTCTTACTTTTTCTTCCTCCCCTTATTTGCAGTAACACACTTGTGGTTGGCCAGTGTTATCTCTGGGATGGTTTGAATTGCTGAAGATTTCTGTGAGGTTTATGAATGAATAACAGTTTGCAGTATTTGTGCTGCTGATCTTATCCAAACAAGTCAAATCAACACTAAAACTTTAATGTCCCATCTGTTTTCACCTTTCAGGCGCCAAAGGAGACGCTGGCCAAGTCCGTCCTGGCCGAGCTGCCTCAGCAGGTCACCCAGTACTTCAAACAGAGGAATCTACCGCCCATCAACCCGGCGCCGGAGTGAAACGTTCTTCTCTGAAAACCAGAGCTCACACGCTGTACATTAGCTTGACTTAACCTTAAATCTTCTTGTTAAAGGCAAAAAGAGGAAAAATGCAGATAGAAAGGTGTGTATGTCGGCTGTTTACCTCATCGTCATGGTTGCAGCTGAATCTGTTGGTTTGGCGTGAGTCCATCAGAAACACGATGACGTGCCAGGGCTCCAGATGAGGTGGATTTGGTATTTTTACGTGTTTGTTTATTTTGCATGTCCGTGTATCGTGATGAGACCACGTGGATCTCTCTTGTGTAAAAGTTGTGGTTAAATTCTCTCTGGTTTCCGTTCGGATCTTTTTGAAAGCCCCGTTTCGTCCTCCATCACAGGGGGCGAGGCTTTTACGTGACGCTTTGATCAGCAGTCATCAGAAGGCAAGTTTAAAGCTCAGAAACGAAGGAATCAGAGGAGAGGGAGGCCGTGGCGGCAGCTGTAGCACCATCACAGGATCGCTCAGAGAACTCGTGAGATGGATTCACACGGAACCAGCCCTCGTGTTTTTCTTCTTAGCTCCTGCAGATTCCTTGTGTTTCTCATGCGTTGAGCTGATCCTGCATGTTGCCAGTATTTACTCAGATCACAAACGCATGGTTTTTATTTTTCAGCTGGTTGTAAATATATTCTGAGCGGCACATGACAAAGATCCCAGATCCAGACGTGTCTGAACAAACAGAATCTTTCAGATATGCATATATTGAATGTATATTTCTATCATGCTGTTTCTGTAACACCTCCATGCCATGTTTAACGTACTTTTTATGCAGTGCTGAATTGTGTAATTAAACTATGTTGTTGTGCATCTTTGAATCAGATGCATTGGTGGTAATGATCTGATCACCAGTCCAAACTTGGGTCGATTACTTACGAATAGTCTTTGTGGACGTCACAGACAGATGATGCTTGAAACAATGAAGTGACAGATGAGAAACTCAGCACAGTAAAACGCCAGGATCCGCTCGTGGTTGGTTTCTCATCCAGAACCAGTTCATGCTGACTTCTTACAGCGCATCTTCCTGTGGTTTCCCTCTGTGTTTGAAATGCCTCCAAGGGAATTCGCCCAAACCGCCTCAACTCGCTCGTGTCGATGTGGAGGAGCCGTGACTCTCCGATCTCTGTTCTTTATCCCTTTATGTTAGGAAGTCCCGCCTCTCTGCAGAGGCAGATTGTTTCAGCCGCTTAGTGTCTCATGAAGCTCACAACCAGAGGTGAGGGATGGAACGTCCATCGTTTCTCTCTCTTTGCATACCAGGATCAGTGGAGCATCACCGCCGATGCACACCACCAGTCAGTCTCCTGCCGTAGCAGCGGGTCATTCCCAACATCTTCCAGTTCAGGATCATGACCTTGGATGCTGAAATGCAGATCCTGATCCCAGAAGAAAGAAATATATCAAAATGGGGAGCTCAGAGGTTATGTTAGATGAAGAAAAGGAAAATCTGAGATGCAAATTGATGCAACTGGTTTTTTAAAGTTAACGATGCAACGTTCTAAAAGACGTACACTGATAAACATCATTCACTTAGGCAGACACCAGATAGAAACCCTACAAAGACCCAATTTATTTATTTATTTATTTATTTATTTATTCACTCACTTCAGAACATTCAAACAAATTAAAATCAAATACAAAATAAAAAAATTCTTATTTAGAGGATTTAGAGATTCCTCAAGGCTTTGCATTGCCCTGTCCCTCAACATCTTTCCATTTCCGAAATCCAAATTAACATCTCTACACATACATCATAAACCAAATCAATAGGCAAAACTCACATTTTCACATGAGCAAGAAATCATATAAACATTTACATCTTAAAGAGCAAGTCACTCCAAATCACCTTTTTTTTTTTTGCTGATAAACTATATAAATGAGTGTCCAATTGTGCTGTAGACAAATGTAGTCAATAATTTGGCACTGTAGTGCATCTTAGTTAAAATTTAAATATTCTGCCTAAAACTGTCAGCGATGCACCGTCATCAGGCAAAAACTCAGCACTGCATTTGAGTTTAAATCTGCCATCGCTATTGGCTAAGAGGTACACCATGATGTTGGATGGTACATTATGATGTCACAATGTCGTGAGTTTGTGTATTTATCAGAGGCTCCGCCCTCTCGGTCTGCTAGGCAACAGCATTTGTTGCATTTTTCAAACAGGAAGTGGGTGTTGAGTAAGAATCTGGCAGGGGGTGACTTGCCCTTTAAAAAAAAATCCAAAATCTAAATCAAAACTCTAAATGAGACCTTATTGACTTTGCTTTACCAAGTCCTTGATGTCTATCATGATTCATGAGCAAATGAGTAATTTTCCAAAAGTTTTCTTCTATAAAATTTTTTGAATTGTACAACAGTTTTACATTTTTTTATGTTTTCCTCTATGCTATTCCACCAAACCACTCCACAGACAGAAATGGTCATACTTTTTTTTTGTGGTACGTACACATGATTGTCTCATGTTATTTTGGCCTGAGCATATCATCTCCTTCCCTCTCCTTAAAAGATTTTTATAAGTTTAGTGGAAGAAGTTGATTTTTCGCTTTATACATTATTTGCACTGAGTTATATTTAACAATATCGTTGACCTAAAGCAGATTAGATTTTAAAAATAGATTACGCTCATAGAATCCTACATTATGTTTTATTCTTATTGCTTTTTTTTTAAATATTAAATAACAGCTGTAAGGTAGTTTCATAAGTATTTTATAAGTATTTCCCCACACCTCTGTACAATAAGATGCAATCAAGTTGCAACACGATAGAATGTTTTAAATGCCTAAAAATTAAACACAAAATGTATAAAAATAGCACTGGTGTTAAGTGTGTAGAAATTAATACCTGTTAATCATGACCAGTAAGATGTGATATTCCATATAAATATGAAATATCAATCTGATTAACCTTTGAATGTTTAATCAGAAGATTCTCGGGTTCTTTGCTTATTCAGGGATCATAAACACACTTCGTATTAAATCAGACAGAGTCAGTATGTAGTTTATAAAATGAATTTAGTTCTTTTTCCTAAGCTAATAATTTATACATGACAAGACATGAATAATGAGATGTGGTGTGGTGGATGTGAGGTATTGTGATGGAAGCTGGATGTTGTAGCAACCGTTCTTCGTATCTGAGAGTAATTTTTAAATCTGGGCGTAAAATAATTAGTTGTTTGTTATAAACTAGAGAGTTGTTTATTTATAAACCTCATCAGACACCGGTATGCAGGCTTACGGTACCCTGGTATGAGTTGCTCCCGGCGGTCTGGAGGGGTGCGGTCAGAGTGGTGAGGTCACCGGACGTCGAAACCACGATACTCAGAGATTAGTAGCTTCCTCTGAGTTCGGCTTCCATGAGATGCAACCCGGGGTCTGCAGGTTAGGTGTGACGTAGCTCTGAAAGGAGATGTTGTGTGTGTATCAGCTGCAGCGTCGCAGAAAGGTTTGACTTAAGGTCAAAGGAGATGGTTTCAAAAGAGCCTTCTTTCCCAATTTGGCCGAATCGGGAGTCAGCTGGAAACTGAATTCATCGGGAAGCAATTCTTGTTTTATTAAACTACTTTGTTATGATTTCTGGCCAAGTTTGGCCAATCAGAATTTGCCACGTTTCTGAGGATTTACCAGCATCCCTCAGAAAGCCACGCCCTCCTCAGATGCAGAAATGTTTTCAACCTTAATGAGTATCTTATGGTAACGTGTATGCGTGTAAACAACGATTAACTTGTTAAAACAAACACACACTGATTTGTGATACAAATGGATCATTGTAAGAACAATATTCATTTTAAATTCATCGATTTAAGCACAAATTATTCAAAAATTTCATTTAAACATCTTGTTCATTCATCACATATGATTATTTCACTTATAACTATGACATCATGGAGCCTCCACTTATTCAGAGTGAAGAACGCTGACGTCTGGCGTTCACGCAGAGAGTGTAGGAACCTTGGGTGAGAACGTTTGTTTGAATGTTTTGTCTTCATGGTACGTAAACACGCACTGAACAGAACCTTCTGGTTCTGGAAGGCCAAACAGGAAGTGGATTTATGCTGTAGATGAAAGGTTATTATGTTGATCAAAATATAGGTAAAATTTGGCCCTTTTGGACGTTACAACTGATAGCAAAAGAAAAGAGTGAAAATAAACTCAAGCTTCATTATTACTGATGTGAAATGAGAACAGAGACAATAAGAAAGAAAAAGAGCCTTTTCTATAGCGCCTCCCAGGATAAAAACCACGAAGCGCTTCACAAGAAATAAACTTTAAAAAGATTAAACCACTGAGTCCACTGATCTCAGACTCAGTGGGAGAGAGGTCCAGACTCTGGGGGCCACATCTGTCACATTTGGCCTTTAGCCTGGTGCTGCACAACCAGTGGGCTTTGGTTACTGGACCTCAGGGACCAGCTGGGGGTGTAGGGACTGAGAAAATGTATGTTGATGCTTGTCCGTGTAAGAATAGAATAGACTTTATTGATCCCACAGTGGGGAAATTCACCTGTTACAGCAGCAACAACACTTAAGTCATTCACTGCCAGCCGTTTCCTGATCGCTAACGGCCTTCGCTGCCAGCGTTTCTCACCGCTTTTACTGTTTTTTTAAGAGTCACAGAACGTTGCGCTCTAGCATGATGTCAATGCCAAAACAGCCTAAACAAAGAGGAGACTCCCCTCTTACATCAAGAAGAAGCCGCATGTTTCGAGCGTTATCCGTTCTTTCATAACCCGTTGTCGAATTGTGATCGGCAGACGCTTTTCCGGTTCGCGCCTCACTTTTTTTTTTACAGCAATGGCCCAAAACGATCTCCAAACACATGGATGGTCTGCTTCCTGATCATGTGATCTGTGACGTATGCGGATGAAGATCGGCTTCGGGGCTGAGATGTTTGTTCTCTCAGCGCGGGGGCTCGTTCCGATGCTCAAACAGTAAAAAAATGCAAATGACGACTTTAGTCGTCATTGGCAGTGAATGAGTTAAGAGATTAATTTGAAGAAAAATAATAACAAAGGTACATGTATTTATACACATAGGCAGTAGTCTAGTAGTGAAAACTTCGACCACTAAAAACCACGAATAAAAAATGAAAAAACGTGGGTTCCAACACGACGCAGCATACTGCAAGAGACACGGATCCTACGTAAATCCGGTATTGAACGAGTATTGAACACATACTGAATATTGCATTGGTGTTGTTGTGTCCCAGGATAATGCCAGTACCAGTTAAACTGAGGAGTTCTACACTCTTACTGCAGAGGGGATGAATGACCTACGGTAGCATTCTGTTTTACATCTGGGATGTCTCAGTCTGCCTCTGAAGGAGCTGTCCGTGGTCTCCACAGTGGAACGCAGTGGGTGGGAGGGGTTTTAAAGGTTTTTTAAGGCCCTATAGACCAGAACCAGGATCTTGAAATGAACCCTGAAGTTGACTGGCAGCCAGTGAAGCTGGAGGAGAAGCGGGGTGATGTGGGTGTGTTTGGAGGACTTGGTCAGAAGCCGAGCACAGGCATTCTGAACCACCTGTAGACGGTTCAGGGAGGTTCTGCTCAGACACGTGAAAAGAGAGTTACAGTAGTCTAAGCGTGAGGAGATGAAGGTGTGGAGAACAGTCTCAAGTTCAGAGCAGGACAGAATGGGACTCAGCTTAGCAACGTTCCTGAGATGGAAGAAGGAAGAGCGAACAAGAGAACTGACATGAGAATCCAGGGTGAGAGCTGGGTCAAAGGTCACACCAAGATTCCTGACAGGGTTTGGTGTGAGAAGCAAGCTGACCAAGAGAGTCTCTGACTTTGGGAACCAGCTTGTCTGGGGCACAGATGA